ACAGTACTACCAAAGACACTACTTCAGTAGTGATAGAAAGGAAAGCTAAAGAAGATGACAACTCTGAAGCAGAACAAGAGCACGGAGAACAAGAATCAAATGATGCCAATGATGGAGAAACTCAACAAACAAGACGTGAGATAAGGAGACCATCTTGGCACTCAGACTATGTGATGGCAAGCCACGATGCATATTGTCTTCTAACAGATGAAGGAGAACCATCAACCTTTCATGAGGCTTTGAGGAGTTCAGATGCTTCATTATGGATGACAGCAATGCAGGAAGAAATTGAGGCCTTACATAAAAACAAGACATGGAAACTTGTTGAACTTCCAAAAGATCGAAAAGCCATTGGTTGTAAATGGGTCTATAAAATCAAACGAGATGGTAATGATCAAGTGGAGCGGTATCGTGCAAGATTAGTGGTTAAAGGATATGCTCAGAAAGAAGGCATTGATTTCAACGAGATATTCTCTCTAATTATTCGATTAACCACAATCAGAATTGTTCTGGCAATGTGTGCTGCATTTGATTTACATCTTGAGCAACTTGATGTAAAGACTGCTTTTCTACATGGAGAACTTGAAGAGGAAATATATATGCTCTAACCAGAAGGTTTTGAAGAACAAGGAAAGGAAGACTTGGTTTATAGGTTGACCAAATCTCTGTACGGTTTAAAACAGGCGCCAAGGTGTTGGTACAAGAGATTTGATTCCTTCATTATTAGCCTCAGATACAACAGACTGAGTTCAGACCATTGTACGTATTACAAGAGGTTTGGTGATAATGATTTCATCATTTTGTTGTTGTATGTGGATGACATGCTGGTGGTAGGCCCCAGCAAAGATCGAATTCAAGAATTGAAGGCACAATTAGCTAGGGAGTTTGATATGAAGAACTTAGGACCAGCAAACAAGATTTTAGGAATGCAAATACACCGAGACAGAAAAGATAGGAAGATTTGGCTCTCTCAAAAGAATTATCTTCGTAAAGTCTTGCGGCGCTTCAATATGCAAAACTGTAAGCCAATCTCTACCCCACTTCCTGTCAGTTATAAATTATCCTCAAGTATGTGTCCTAGCAATGAAGCGGAGAGGATGGAAATGTCTCGAGTACTGTATGCATCAGCGGTGGGAAGCCTTATGTATGCCATGATTTGTACTAGACCAGACATTGCACAAGCAGTGGGAGCAGTCAGTAGGTACATGGCAGATCCTGGTAGAGAGCATTGGAATGTTGTAAAGAGGATCCTTAGATACATAAAAGGAACCTCTAATGTTGCATTATGTTTTGAAGGATCAGAATTTATTGTGAAAGGCTATGTTGATTCAGATTTTGCAGGAGATCTGGATAAAAGGAAATCCACTACTGGTTATGTGTTTACACTTGCTGGAGGGGCAGTAAGCTGGTTATCTAAGTTGCAGACTGTTGTAGCTTTGTCTACTACAGAAGCTGAATACATGGCAGCTACTGAGGCATGCAAGGAAGCAATCTGGATTCAAAGGCTATTGGAGGAACTTGGGCACAAACAGCAGACTACTACTGTGTATTGTGACAGTCAAAGTGCTTTGCATATTGCAAAGAATCCAGCTTTTCATTCTAGAACAAAACACATAGGTATACAATACCACTTTGTTCGTGAAGTAGTAGAGGAAGGTAGAGTGGATATGCAAAAAATTCACACCAAAGACAACATAGCAGACATAATGACAAAGCCAGTGAACAATGACAAGTTTACATGGTGTCGATCCTTGTATGGCCTATTAGGAATATAAGCAACATGTAATTGTAATATATATATTAGTAATGTGTGTGAAGATATGATTAACTTAATCATAATCTTCAAGTGGGAGAATTGTTAGTCCCACATCGGTGGGAGTTCAATTAGGAGGACCTCCTTTGGCTTATAAAAGGAGGCTTAAGGGTTACTTAAGTATCATCCCAAAAATTATTTTTTTCTCATATCTTTGTATTACACTGAGATCTTGTACTCGGTAGTAATAGTCTCCTATTTTGAGGAATAAATTATAGAGTGAGGAGTAGTGTAATTTTTTCTTCTGTGATAATTTTATATTGTCTTTGTTGGCTCTTATTTTTCATCTCTTATTTTAGTTGTGTGTTATTATATTGATACTCTGGTCCCAACACATATATGGTATACAATTATATGGCTGCTTTTGAAGTATTATGTACATGATCTACGTGTCTTGTGGCATTCATAATTTGAAGTATTCTAGTGATGAAGTCCCACCCTGTCCTTTGCCAGATTTATGTGCAAGCTCTTTTAAATAAACACACCTTACAGATTGAAGGGTTTTCTGTGGATAGCAATGCTTCAATAGGCTCATAAACTTTAGGTGTAGTCTCATCTGTGACCTGTGTGATCTTTCTGTGACAGACATAAATCATGGGCCTACATCCATTGCTATTACCCTGTGACAGACTCTGAAGAAGCTGTCATTCGTGATTAGCTGCAACAGAAATTATAAATCATAGATTAAACGCCAATTTCAATGTATTTATCTTGTTTCCATAGTTATGGCGATCACAATTATTCAAATGTTCTGAGCGATTATAATATGAATAACATGTGAAACCCCTTAAATTTAGATGTTTGCTGAACACAATTATTATTGCAGTGTTGTGTACATGGCATTTAAGTTTTTGCCTTAGAAAAGTAGTTAACATTTATCACGTGCTTGTTTGTTTATTGTTACAGGGTATATAGTTCACCTGGCTTTTAGACCACCCATGACCCACTGATTTTAATTATTCAACTAACCTTGCTTATATTTATTTAATTTTTTAAAGATTTTACATCATCACATCTAACAAGTAACAATTATTAATGAACTACTAGTGGTCCAGCAGTCCAGCACCACTTGTACATTTCTCTAATTTGTATTCACATAAATAATCACACTTGTAGAAGAATACTTACCAGTTACTACCACTGCACCATGCCTGGGAGTATCATTAACCCATTGGTTCCAGTGTAGAACTTTAAGACTATCCATGGATATTGTGACAGTACGGTGATTGATGAGAATCCTCCAATCAGTGTGCTTGCTTATGCCCATTGTTAGTTGAGGATATTGAACCCAAAGTATAACATTTCAGATCAAGCCCAAAAGCCTCAATAGAATCTCAAGGGCACCAAAATTTTATTATTTGTGAACTAAAAGATAAGGATTTGATTCCTTTAAAAGAAAGAGAATGTATTTTAAAAGATGAAGTGCGTTAATAATTAATTATTTAGTACAAGATTGACGGTTAAAATCATAACTCACTTTTAAATTTATTATTCATGTACTTGTTTTTTTCTGGTTGATTTTTTAATTAATATTCCCTCCGTTTCCTTTTTATGTTTTCCGTTTTAGAAAATTTTTATTTATTTTTATCTGTCTCATTAAGATTTTAAGAATATATTTATTATTTTTTCCTACTATACCCTTACCCTTTACATAAATAAAATGTCTAATTAACTTATGTAAATTCCAAAAATAAGAATAAAATAGGAAAATAGATGTTAAAATTTAGTGATCCAAAAATATTAAATGATTTTCTTAATCTGTGTGTTTTAACCTTAGAAGATAAATAAAAAGGAATGGAGAGAGTAATTATAAATGCCTATTATCTTCTAAACTTACTCACTTTAGAGGATTCATATCTCTGCAAATTAATGAAATTATGTAAGCAGAATTAATTACCCTAACAGGTTACTAATTGTAAATGATTCATATGAACAACTATTGTCTGTAAAGATATAGTAATGTAAAAGTACTCAATTTCTAAATCAGAATGCATAGCTCCTCAACATAAGAGGCATGAGTCATGACCTCACACGTTTCATGTTAAATACCATTAGGAGTTTCATTCACGTGTAAAGATTGCTGGTATGCTTCACCTTTTCTTGGTATTTCATAAGACATCCAAATATATGTCAAATACGTAGCTTGGTTCTAATAGAGTATAATTTGAAAGATGGATTACTTCCTAACGGAGATCTCGAGTATGGAACTATTTCTTGACATCCGATTCAAGTTCACGTAACCCCTCAACCCCGATCATTTGCTCTTCCAAAATGACTTCAAATCCCGTGATGGATAAACTCGTTGAGCAATCCATTTCTAGGATGCATCTCGACCTTCGTCAACAACCTCGTAACGATGTAACGTAGAATCGGATTACCATGCATTGCTTGTGTGACTGAATTCAAGAGAAAGAATAAAATAGAATGCACCGTAATATGTTTAAGATTATTTAAATAAAATAAAATCTGATTGAATTAAATCCATCTTATACTTTTACTTCTTGTTGACTACAGCACTTTTTACACTAGACTTCTCTCTATTCTTTTTATTATTTAAATTAATTGAAAACTTTCCCTACAAAAATTGAATCCAGTATACTGAATTTATGACTTACTCTTTTAGTTATTGTTTGGACTCCTCACGCTTACCATTTTATTTTCCATATTCCTCGCAAATACAATTAATTAAAGTTATTTATTACTTCCTTGCAAGCAACTTAATTGACTGGCATCTTTCTCTTCCCATTAGGAAATTGTCATAAAAATTCAAATTCGTTGAACCACAAAATAACACGTTCAAGTCCTCCTCACCAATGCCCCATATTGCTCTCCATGCGTCCTTGCGCATGAACTGGTTAGTTCAAGGTAAATAGACCCTCTTAAATTACTTTTCCTCTCGACCAAATAAACAAAGATAATTTTGCAAGCCATCATTTCCTTTAGCAATGGCAATATGGCATTACTGATACTTCCAGAATGTTTGCACGAAACATAGTATCTAAATAATACATCACACAAGCTCACACCAAACAACCAACATTAAGTTAGTATTACTCCATTGTGGGTAGAGCTGAGTGTGTCCTGACAGCTGATTTGACAAACAGCAGCAAACACTATTGAAGGCCTATATATATATATATATATATATATATATATATATATATATATATATATATAAACAAGTCAAAGCAGAAATTACACTAAGCTAAAGCACAATCAACGGAGGAACATCGACGGTTAGACACCCCAAAATTAAAACATCGCTGTAAGGCAAGTTTATGGCACGACCATAGATCAGTATCAAGGTCAAACAAATCAAAGATAATGGTTGTGAAAAGACAGGAGTTTTAGTGTCCTTTACTTTACACCTCCCCACACCTCTGACAATACAAACCATCAGTCACCACCCACTTGCCTCTTCCAAGAATCTTCCACAATCAGTTCATCAACTCCCCAATCTTCATAACTGGACAATTTAGCCGAAAAAATATAACTTGAGTATAGCATAAAGGATGGAATCAACTTAAACCTTCTCCAGCCCAGAAAAAGAAAACCCTAACTCAAATAACGGGCATAATTTACCTTCCATCAGGTAAGTAGCGGCGGATGGTGAAGGGTATTTTGCGCTCTCGAAGTTCCTTCATGGCAATCTGTTAAGTTGGGAGAACAAAATATTGGACATTATATAGCAAGCTAACAACAGAGCATGTATATTCCTGAATCCTAATTCAGAAAACAAATTATGAAAACTACAAAAAATAAAAAATAAAAAACATAGTTAACAATCTTGACCCCAAAAACGCTACACCAGTGTACCCCATAATTCAAATGAAAGAGAGAACTAAAGCTTTCGTTACCTCAAGTGGGTCAGTTTCCCCCTCTAACTCGACCATAACAGGTGCATTCATACTGCACCACCAGAAAAGCAACATGTTACAAATAATCAATAAGTAGAATCATAAGCTTGGTGACAAAGTTCAGAAGAAAACCTGATTTGAAGAGCACGGGTACCCAAAATCCTAGCACGCTCATACTTAGTCATGTACTTCGATGTCTTTCGAGGCCGCTCTACTTGTTGTTCCTCTTCCTTATCCTCAGTGTCAACAGGTTCACCAGTTATTTCCTCGTTTTTGTTGTTATCCACATCCTCTTCTGCACCTTCCTGCTCATCAACCAAACCACCAGTGATTGCATTAATTCTGGTCCATGCTAAGTTCCAAACATATATTTATTCTAATAAAATAAAATGACACAGGAGAAAGAATTATGTACCTCAATCTCAGGCTCTGGGGGCTCATCTTCATACCTGCATCACCGTATTTTTACCATGAGAAGTATTTTAGTGTTTGGATGTGCATTTGTTAAATTAAATTAGGATTACCCTGTTAGTGTAGAATTGATTTAAGTAAAGTGAGTTTAATTTTTGTTTCATGACATACTAGAAAAGTAATTTTGACAAAATATTGTTTGGATATTTCTAGTCAAAATTGCTTTTAGAATGTGGTATTAGCAAAATAGATCTTTAATGTTCATGTGTCTGTATTAACAAATAAAAAATAGATTTTAGTTAGTATTTTTTTCATTCTAATTATAACAATGAGCACCATTGACTACTACAGTACACAGCAATGGGGTCAACCACCGGGACCTCCATTGCTGCCATTTATATAGCCAAATCGATCTATATTATTTTACCAAGGAGGGGAGTGCAGCGACATAAGTATACTAGATGCATCAACCAAAACGTATATCAAATAATAAGTTGTGCAAAAATGTACAGGAAGCCAGGCGAGATATGGGATAATAACAATTGAAGCAGGGGTAAAGCATAGTTAAAAACAGAATCATGTATTTTGAATCCATAAGCTAGGCCAAGTAGTGCAGAACTTAACTCACGTATGACGGAGAAGATGCACATCAAAAGAAAACCTCAAACATATAAATTAGCATTCGGACGTTTAAGCATGGCAGATGCACGTTTAAAAGAGAATCATGGAGAAACAAAAATAATAATTGCACGACTCTAATATGGATTCCAGTAAGGGTTTCAATAGGCAAATTGAATTGGGGAAAACCCTAATTTCTGAGTGTGTGTGCGAGAGAGAGATAGAGAGTGAGAGAGAACCCCATGTCCATATCATCGTAGTCGTCATCGGCCATCGCGAATCGCAGAGAGTGAGAGGTAGAAGCCGAAGCTTAAGCCTGCTGTGTGTCCCCTAAACCCTCACAAGTCACGCAGAACACAAATACACCGACTTTGCAGAAACTACCGCTATATATATAAACCAGTGAGTACGGGGATTTGCACGGGCTACTTTAAAATAAAAAGATATATATTTATAGTTTTTTATATAACATTTTATTAAGGATTACATGAAAGAATAAAAAGTATTAATTTTTTAGCAAACCAAATTTTGTAATGATTTTGTTATAACTAAGATTTTGAAATTATATTAAAAAGCATGTAAATAATATATTTTCATACTAAAATTGCAGTGTATAACAATTTTATACTAAGAGCTTTTTTAATTTATTATTATTATTATTACCTTTAATGACTTTATTTATAAATTTATAACTTTGATTTTTAAGGTATATCCATTAAGTACAAGATAATTTTAAATTAATATAAATTTTTGTAAATGTAATTTATTTAATAAAAATATTTGTTTAAAATTTAATTTAAATATACTGAAATTATTTAAAATTTTACTATTATTTAATTATAGATCATCATATCAAATTTTTTAATTTTATAATAATTAATATAAAATTTATATTTATAATATATATATCATAACCATGTAATAATATAAAATTTTTACAGTAATAATATATTAAGATTAAATTTTATATTATATAATTACTTAATATTTTAGTTACTAAATAAAATTAAATAAATTTATATCGTATCAATATAAAGTATTCCCTTTTTTTTTTCTCAAGCTACTATTACCAACACTTACTTATGATATCTTTCTATTTATAAAAGTATAAATTTATACTATTATATTATTTAATAATTTTAATTTAATGTGACAATAACATAGTTACATATATATATATATATATATATATATATATATTCACAATATTATGTGAAAAACCATAAAATATTTTACAGTAAAAATATTTTAATATTCACTATTTTAATTGCCATTTTTGTTATGATACTTTAAATACTTTTTAACTATATTTTTAATCTTAAAATATTTTCGTTCTTGGTTTTCTAAAATTTAATATTTTAATATAAATTTTTACTAATTTAATTAAAATAATTTTACAGTATAATTTGTTTATATTGTCAATTAATAATATATTATTACACCATTAAGCAGTATTAAATTCTGTAGTAATAGATTAAAAAAGTATATCTATGATAATTTTTTATTTAATTAATTATCTAACAGTGTATTAAATGTATATCAACCTTAAAATATATTTTGAATGAAAAAAAATAAATATTAAATAAAAAAAAGAAGTTGTATAAGAATTTAAAATCATTTGGGAATAAATATATTCCATTACGTTTTAATTACTAAACAATTTTATTAACTATTATTCTAATAGTATGGATTAAAGAATATTAATCACACATTATTAAATATTCTAATTGTTTTTAAAGGGTATTATGTGGTATTTTTAATTATATATTTGACATCCCGTAATACAAATGTATTTTATTTTAGAATGAATAATTTAATATATATATATATATATATAACGCAATAATTGAAGAATAAAATTTTAGTTTTTTCATAAATAATTATTTTAAATATTAATTTTTTAAAATTATTTTAATTTAATTTTATAATTATAAACACTATGTATCAAAATATAAAGAAATGATAAAAAAATAATAATTTTATTAAATTGTTTTGGATTTTATAAATTAAATATTGATATTAATAATTATAAATTTAAAATATAAGACTTTTAAAAGTAAATATTAAATTTTAAAAATTAAAAAATTTTAAAATAATTTTTATAAATATAAAAAAATATTTATGAAAAACATAAACATTTATATATCGAACTATTTAACAAGGACTTATAATTTAATCTATTTAAATTTTACTTTATTCCAATCTATTTAAGTAATAAACTAAAGTCAAATTTTAAGAAAATTTAATTAATTTAAACTTAAAAAACCCATTAAAATAAATGTTTACATAAATTATAATATATTTATATATTATATTAAATAAATTAAAATTAAAATAAACAAATCTTAAATTTTATGATATTAGATATAAATATTTTAACTTATTTAAATTTAAATTTATTTAAACTGTGTCAAATTTAATAATTTTTTTAAAAAATTAGCATAAAATAAATCATAAAAAAATTAGTATGTCAAGACACACTTTTAAAAAGTTAGATCAAATTTAATTAAAATTTTTATAATAAATAATAATTTAAAATTAAGTAATATATAATTTAACTTATTTTTATCTTTAATATTAAAAAAGTTAAGTAACAACCTTAATTTTTAAAATTTAAAATTAAAATAAAAGATGTGAATAAAAAGTACAAATATTATAACAAAAAATTATAATTTACACATTATTTTCAGTTAATTTTAATATTAAAATGTATTCATGAAAGCTAGTAACATTACTATTTTAAAACATTTTAAATAATATACTTTTATTTATAATATAGAATTACTATTTTATAAAATAATTATTTGTATGCCATTTTTTAGTGTTTTTTTTTTCTAGGAACATTTCTTTGTGTATTTGAGATAATGTGTTTTTTGAATAAAGATTTAATTAAAAATTGTTGTTAACAAAACTATTCCGTATTTAATATATATATATATATATATATATATAATTTTAATCAATAAGCATTTGAAAAAAATACATTTTATGCAATAATAAGAAATTTAATTTATTAATAAATATATTGACACATAACGAATACCGTGTTATTAATAAATTGACATATAACGAAAAAAAAAAGGGGCAAATTTTCATCTGATATGAGAGGTATTAATTATTTTGTTTCATAAAGGTTTTACAACTTTTGGGTACACATGTTAAACCAATTGATAAATCGTGATTCTAAATCTTCTTTTAAAACATTAAGTTCCGATTAATCATTGCATTTACTAAATAAAAAATATTAAATTATTTTTATCTTTCTTAACTAGTAAATACATTCATTTTTATTTAAATATTTTCTTTATAAAACATTGCAACAGGATATTTCATTAATGATATTAAAACCTCATCAAGGTACAGCTAACAAATCCTGTAAATTCCTCCCTTTACTGTGATTATCACTAAATATTTAAAATAAAATAATTTATTTTTTTTAATAATTGGAAAAATAGCGAAGGGTTGCATAATTCATGAGATCACTAGAGACAAAAGGATACATTCAAACGAATGAAATAAATTTCCATTGTTGTTCCGTATATATATACAATACAATACAACAACATACGATCTTTGTTCCCAATTAAAACAAGAAAAGAATCGTAGCCAACAGAGAGCAACAATGGCGGGTGGAGATTCAACGTCTTCACGCCACAACGCCACGTTATCATCCATTTTCAACGCCAGAAAAACCCATCTCTTCCTTCTTATCACCCTTCTATGCATCGCTTCCTACCTCCTCGCTGCTTACCAACAACAAGGAACTCGCTTCACCACCTTACTCTCCCTCTCCACAACCCAGCCATCCAACCACTTCAACGTCACAACGACGTCGTTCACAAGCTTCCCACGCTGCAGCGCCAACTACAGCGAGTACACGCCGTGCGAGGATCCTCAAAGGTCGCTGCGGTACAAGCGGAGCAGAATGATATACAGGGAGAGGCACTGCCCCGTGGAGGAGAGGGAGGCTTTGCGATGTAGGGTTCCGCCACCCTATGGCTACCTCAACCCCTTCCCGTGGCCCGCAAGCAGGGATGTTGCGTGGTTCGCTAACGTCCCCCATCGGGAGCTCACCGTGGAGAAGGCTGTGCAGAATTGGATCCGGTTCGACGTCGACCGCTTCATTTTCCCTGGCGGCGGAACCATGTTCCCCAACGGTGCCGATGCTTACATTGATGACATCGGAAAGTTGATCAATCTCAAAGATGGCTCTGTTAGGACTGCTCTTGATACTGGCTGTGGGGTGAGTCTAACCTTCTCCTATTTTTATTGTGTTAAATATGAAATTAAATAATTATTTTCCTTATGATTTTAAACTTTTTAATGATGAAAGATAATATCATATGAAATATTTTATATTATCTTTTATGTACTATTTTTTTTTATTATTATTATACAATACACTCAAGTTGTGTAAGCAATATTTTTCCACATAAAATTATGAATTAACCAGCGACTATTTCGTATATTGCATTGCATTATAAATAATGTGGGGGTGTCTTGGTGAAAAGAAGAGATAGATAGAAGGAAAGAAGAAGACAGAAAATAAAATATGTAATAGATAATATGATACAATAAAAAAAATTATGCAGGTTTATATATATATATATATATATATATATATATTGCTCTTTATTTGTAGCTTTTCCAATAGGCATTTCTTATTTGCAGCACATATAGATATGCAATTGATATTTCTTTTCTAATATTTGAAAAAAAAGATATTTTTTTCCTTGTAAATGTGAATTTCTTATCTGCGTCGATGGAGTCAAACTTGTATTCAGTTCAAAGTTTTCACCCGGATCGATGTTGACAATAGCTGTAACATTCTTCTTTACATTAAATGCTGGTAACTGTGTGAAAATAGTTTAGCTGGCTTATTTTCTGAGTGACGAAGTTAAGCAACGTTTGAAAATAAAAAGATAAAAATGAAATGGTATTGGTTCGAAGACTGGAAGTTATGAACTGAGTTGGCGTTTGTTTTTATGTGGGCTATGCGTTGAATTTGTTTAGAGTAATTAAGCGTGCTTAGGTGTTAAGTGAAGTTGTATTAGTTGTTTAAACAGGAGTCAGATCAAAAGAAAGTGTAACTGCCTGTACGCGTGTCTGCCACCCGACACGAATTTTTCACATTAAATATTCTTGTCTACATATCCGCAATCCATTACATGATATTCTTCTTGTATAAGCAAAGTAATTTTAATCCATGTCATAATAATTTATGATCTTTTAGAATATTTTTTGCACGAATATTTCAGTAATACACGTGGGTGTTTTTCATTAGTTGAGTATTGTTAAAGAAAAAGAATGTGTGTATGATAGAAATCACACCATTGTATATGCTTTTGTCCAATTCTTTTCATACTAACCAGTATGACTCATTTTTAAATGGGTGATCTAAATGCGATCGATCAAGAAAACACTTTGGAATGAAGAAGGGGAAAACAAATAAATGTTTGAAAAAATCGAATGATATGGATAGAAAAATTCAAAGAAATTGAATTTGACTCAAGAACATCCATTTCACACAAACATTGTTAATGCAGGTTGCTAGTTGGGGAGCCTATCTTCTATCCCGTGACATTCTAACATTGTCAATTGCACCAAGGGATACCCACGAAGCACAAGTTCAGTTTGCTCTTGAGCGAGGAGTCCCTGCATTGATTGGTGTTCTTGCCTCCAAGAGGCTCCCTTTCCCTTCGAGAGCTTTTGACATGTCTCATTGCTCTCGCTGCCTCATTCCATGGGCCGAATATGGTATGCTATATTTTATTTATAATCCGCACCAAAATTATATTTTAGGCCTTGAATTATATACAAATCATCTCAAGTCATAAATAAAAATAGAAAAACAGACCACTAGTTTCATGATTTATCATTAGTAATAAATGTTAATCAATATTCTAAAGTTATTAGTTAAAGAGTTAAAAGTAATTTTTTATGAAAAAATGTTATTCATGAACTCTTTTTAATAAAAAAATTATTTATTTATTAACGTATTAAAGATCTAATTAACGAGACTCCTTTGTCTAGATGGGATTTTTCTTAATGAAATTGATCGAGTTCTACGCCCTGGCGGGTACTGGATTCTATCTGGGCCACCAATCAACTGGAAGAAATACTGGAAAGGGTGGCAAAGAACAGTGGAGGATCTGAACAAAGAGCAGACCAAAATTGAGAAGGTAGCCAAAAGTCTTTGCTGGAACAAGCTAGTGGAGAAGGATGATATTGCTATTTGGCAGAAACCAAAAAACCATTTAGATTGCAAGGCCAATAAACTAGAGAGGTCTTTCTGCAATGTACAAAACGATCCTGACAAGGCCTGGTTTGTCCAATCTCCTAGTGTTCTGTTTAATGTGGATGAGTTTAGTTTCATGCATTTGTTTTATAATTATTTTGGTCACCCTCAGGTATACCGCTTTGCAAACATGTTTGAGTCCTGTGCCTCAAGTGTCTAACAAAGAAGAAATCGCAGGTGGAATGTTGAACACTTGGCCAAACAGACTAGAATCCATCCCACCAAGGATTTATAAGGGTACCATAGAAAGTGTTACACCCAAAACTTATTCGAAAGATTATAAGACGTGGGAGAAAAGGGTATCATATTTTAAGACAGTAAACAATCAACTAGGAAATGCTGGAAGGTACCGCAACCTTTTGGACATGAATGCCTACTTGGGTGGATTTGCCGCTGTACTAATTAATGATCCTGTTTGGGTCATGAATGTGGTTCCTGTTCAGGCCAAGGTTAACACACTTGGAGCAATATATGAACGTGGATTGATTGGAATATATCATGATTGGTTAGCACAGTAATCTCTTGTGCCATTATTCATGAAGTTTTCTATTTCTTTCTGTCTCTATGTTTTGTCAAATGCTGGAATGAATCATTTAATTCTCTGGCAGGTGTGAAGCAATGTCTACTTATCCTAGAACTTATGATCTAATTCATGCTGATTCAGTGTTCAGCCTTTACAGTAACAGGTAATAATAATATATTGCTTTACAGGTTTTATTTTTTTAAGACAAATGTTTTGTGTGTTGAATTTTATGTATAACTTCAATATGTAAAACTTTATCGTTATTATTTTTTATCTTAGAAATGCATTTCATTATTAGAAATAAAAGAGAGTTTTGAACGATTCAAAGTTCAAACCATGTAGAACCACACTAATATGTTTGTGTGTTGTAGATGTGAAATGGAAGACATTCTACTAGAAATGGATAGGATTCTTAGGCCTGAAGGAAGTGTTATCATCAGAGATGACGTTGATATATTAGTAAAAGTAAAGAGCATGGTGAATGGATTGGAATGGGATAGTATGATTGTAGACGATGAAAATGGGCCTCTTGAAAGGGGGAAACTTCTATTTGCTGTGAAGAAGTATTGGACAGCTCCTGCAGCTTCCGAAAACACTAATTAAAATCTTGTACAGTCCTTTTCTTCTTTTTTTAATTTTTCTCTTTTTGCTGCTCTAGTTTTTTTTTTTTTTTTCAATTTATTCTTTTGTATTTTTTACTTACATTTCTTTAGGGTCGGATTGGAATGCAATTTTACTTTAATTGTGAAGAACACCGAGTCCATGGATGAGCATTGTTGTCTTACACAAGAACTAAAGAGGGGGATTTTAAGGGATAACCTGGCCCTTCCATCACTCCCCTATTTTTCTTTAAAAAAAATCAGTTAATTTTTTTTAATAGAAATTTAACACTTTAAACAGATGTATATTAAGAAGATGGTTCAAAGAACACTAATATAAATTATATTTTATATAAAATTAGTAACGGTATATATAAGTTACGCTATTATAATTTCATCCTTCCACTTATATTAATATTGCAATCTTTAATTAATTTTTATGTGTTATTTTTCACTATTCACTTTCAAAGTAAAAGCTTCTTTCAATCTAAATTTCTACCCTTGAGCACTTTAATTTTGTATTTTTTAGCAACTATTTTTTAAATCTCGACAATATATATCAACTTATTTAGTTGTAAAAAAAAAATATAAGTTTGAAATTTATAAATTTAAAAGTTGACCGAATTTATTTTCATAATGTATTCACTAGTTTAAAATTATTTATCATATAATAAAAATAAATATTGATTGTTAATAATGATATTATCTTTTATTATATTTTTAATACACGTGATTTAATATTTTTTAATTATGCTAAATTATATTTTAAAAATTGGATAATGCATACAAAATTACTAATTAATATAATTATATATTAAAATTTAAATAACTAGTCATTTGTCTATGTAATGCATTGATATTTTATTTTAAAATAACTGTATATAATTTAATAATAAAATTAAGCTCATGTATGATAAATTAAGTTTTGGTTCATAACTTATGGTTCAAGAGACTATCCATAAACTGTAGTCCATGTATGATAAATTAAGTCGAATAAAAGAATGATAAAAATTAGAGTATTTTGGTGAACTCAAGTTTCAGTGCCAAGATTGTGAGCTAAAAAATCTGTTGGTTGGTCACTCATGAAAAGGATCACTTATTCGATTCCAAACTACACCTATAAATAAGGACAAACATTTTATACAATACCAGGAAAGAGGCAAGGTGAGTAAACAAATACAACTAACAAGTAAGTTTACAGAAGTAATGGCAGGATCAAAGTTTATGGTTTCACTGAGGTGTGAAGTGGCACTGTTGTTGGTACTGGTTGTGGCATTAGGGAGCGAGACAGAGATGGGTGTGGCACAGAGTAACTGCTCAGACCAACTAAGCAACTTGAACGTTTGTGCACCCTTTGTGGTCCCCGGTGAATCCAATGGTAACCCAACTTCTGAGTGTTGTGGTGCGCTTCAAGCTGTGAATCACGATTGCCTTTGCAACACCCTCAGGATTGCCTCTCAGCTTCCTTCGCAATGCCAAATCCCACCCCTTAGTTGCGGTAATTACTCAAACATATGCTTTTTTATTCCCTTCTTTTCTTCTTTCTTATTCTCATTATCAACGCTGTTATTTTACAGACGCAAATTAGAGTGTGCTGGAGATGAAGAACCTCATGCTATATGTCAAATAAAATTTCGACTCTCTTTCGAGATATCATCTATGTATCACCGGAATAATAAGTGAAATAAAGAATGTTTGGAATTTAATTTCCTCATAAATTATCACTTTCTCTTTCTAATTTCATCTTTCTAGCTACGTAACATTTCTACTTCAAAACTTTGTCATTGTTAACTACTATTTAAAACCTTTTAGGTAAATTATTAAAAAGAAATTTGTGGGCAGAAGTGATGCACATATTTTCTTCCCCTTTAGAAAATGAAACTATGCTTACTTTCGTCCAAAAGAAAAAGAAAAGAATATTACCGTCGAGTTCTTTTTATATTCACGGATGAACCTTTCGTGGTGTAAAATAAAACTTAGGACACTTTTTTTTCCGTTATTTTAATTACCATAGACAAATAGAAATGAATTTTACTAGCGAATTATGCGCCATCAGTTCTCCGTGTTTGATCATACATTTATAAACTTATTTACAATAAATGTAAAGCATTTAAAATAATTTTCTATTCTAAAAAAATAAAAAAAGGACAAACATATCTTCACTAGATCAGATAAGAGATGGTTTCCACTTTCCAGTAATGCAAGTGAGGTAATTATATTTTAATAAATAAATAAATAAATAATATAATAACAAAACAAGTAAAAAATAAAAGTGACTAAAGCAATTTAAGGAGAATAGTTTAGTGAGTAGCATAGATAACAAAATGAAATGTTATAATATTTTTTATGTTTTTAAAGATTGAGGAAAAATTTATAAAAGTGTAGAATTTTAATACAATTCTTTTCAAGGTAATTGTACATTTTTAAAAATTAGTGTTGATAAATACATTAATTTTTTATTTAAAATATACGAGATAAAATATATTTAAGAACCATTAATTCAATTTTAATTGAATCATGAATGAATTTGTAAGGCAAAATATAAATTTCAAACATTAAAAAAAAAACTTATTCATTCGCGGTAAAGGAGATGAAACTGATTTTATAAAAAGTATAAAAAAATTATTATATTTTTAATAAAATAAATATATTTAATAAAACGTATGCATTTTACATGCTTTCAATTAATTCTAAAAGCTGGTATGAATAAAATTAAAAAGAAAAAGTATTATAAAAATTTCAATGGAAATTTTATTATTTTTAAACCAACCGTGCGTTTTAACTGTTAACTTAAAGGAGAAGAGGAACAGATGCATTTCAAGTTTCAGTAATCGTCTTCTACATCGTGTTAGGGTTTGCAGAATTGCCATTTCCCTTTGTTTCTTCGCTTAATCCAACTTTCTGCTATAGAAGGAGCTCCAAATCAGGTGTTTTCAGAACTAGCTTTGTTCGAATGCATCCAACGATACAGCACCGTGTGACGGTTCCTCAAATCCTTCGTTGCGATTATGACCCAGAGATTATGGACGGTGTCGTGCGTCCAATGCACGATTCTTTGTTCCTTCCCTCCGATCACGTACTTTGGCTCTGACCTCCAACCCTAATTTTACTCTTCAACGTCTCAGTTCCTGGTTTCTCTTTATTACAACTGGTAAGGGTTGTTTGTACTGGAATCACTGTGCTTTTAATTTATAGTCGCAGAATTTGAAACTAACATGATCAATAATGAATCATTATCCAGTAAAAACTGCGTTGTTTGCTTGTTTGTTTTATTTATTTTTTCCCCATTTTTTATGCATGTTAAAGATTCATTGGATTACAATTCGCGGTGTGAAATTGAATGTGCCAATGTGAAAATTGCGAAATGCATTTATATGGGCTTGAAAAATCATTTGTGGATTCGGCATGAACTATGTTCTCGCCTTTGTTGGGTTTATTGGCAATCGCTGTATATATATATAAGCCAGGTAACTTTAATTAATTTGATTATTTGTCCCAATTCGGTGAAGGTTTTTAATGGATGGGGATCGTGACGAGTTGGGTACCGTGCACGAAGAGAATGTTGAGATTGGATCTCAGACATCGAACGAATTGGATTTGAATGTGGAGCAGAACTGTTGCAGCCCAAACATTTCTCATGCTGATGACTCTCATTCTGCTCCTCCTTCTGTAAATGTACTCAACACCAATAGGGTGTTGGGAATTGGTACAGAATTTGAGTCTGATGATCACGCATACAGATTCTATAACAACTATGCTAAATTGGTGGGTTTCAATGTTAGAAAAGATTGGATAAACAGGAGCAAGGTACATGGTCAAGTGGTGTCTAGGAAGTTTACCTGCTCCAAAGAGGGGTACCGTAGGAAAGACAAAAGAGATGTTAATGTGAAGAAACATAGGAAGGAAACAAGAACTGGCTGCTTGGCACATATGATCATCACTCGGCAACCAGATGGTAAATACCAGGTCACCCATTTCGAAGCACAACATAATCATGACAATATAAACCATAACAATGCTAACATGATAAACTTGCAAAATGAATTTAGTGTTGCTCAAGCTGTAGAAGCTGACTCAAACAATAATTTGGGACCTAAATCAAAGTCAGCATTAGATATGTTGAATAAAAAAATAAGTGCCCGTGAATCTCTCGATCAACTTTCAATGAATTATGACAATTACTTTCATTCTGAAAGGGAAAGAGATATGAGTGAAGGAGAAGCAGGGCGTCTGCTGGGCTATTTCCAAAGGCAACACTTTGAGAATCCAGCATTTTTTTATGCCATACAGCTCGATGTTGATGACAAGGTTAGCAATCTTTTCTGGGCTGATGACAATATGGTGTTGGATTATGACCATTTTGGTGATGTCATTTGTTTGGATACGGCTTGCAGAACAAACAGAGATCTTCGACCATTTGTACAGTTTTTAGGTGTTAATCATCACAAACAAGTGTTAATATTTGCTGCTGCTTTTCTGTATGATGATTCCATTGAATCATATAAATGGCTATTTCTAACTTTCATTAACGCAATGTCCGGAAAAAAGCCAAAGGCCATTCTTACTGAACAGGAGGCTGTAATTATTGAAGCAGTTAATACAGTTTTACCTGACATAAACCACTGTACATGTGTATGGCAGTTGTATGAGAAGACTTTGAAACACCTCAGCCATGTTGTTAAGGATGCTGAATCTTTTGGAAATGACCTACGGAGCAGTATTTATGACCCTAAGGACGAAGAAGAATTTACTAATGCTTGGAAGGCTATGCTAGAGAAGTATAGTCTCCAGCAAAATGAGTGGCTGAGATGGATGTATAGAGAAAGAGAGAAATGGGCCGTTATCTTTGGTCGAAATTCATTTTTTGTAGACATCAAAGGCTTTCATTTAGGTGAGATTTTGTCTGATAAGTTTAGAAGTTATCTAAATTCTGACCTTGATGTAGTTCATTTTTTTAAGCATTTTGAAAGGGTAGTAGATGAGCAACGTTATAAAGAAATAAAAGCTAGTGATGAAATGAGCAGGCGTTTGCCAAGGCTAATGGGTAATGTCATTTTGTTGAAGCATGCAAGTAATATTTATACTCCAAGAGCTTTTGAAGTATTTCAGCGAGGATATGAGAAGTCTTTAAATGTTCTTGTTTACCAACACTGCAGAAATGGATCATTGTTTGAGTACAAAACAAATACATTTGGGCGTACAAGACAATACTGTGTCACCTTCAATTCTTCAGATGATACAGTTGTCTGCAGTTGTTTGAAGTTTGAGCATGTTGGATTTTTGTGTAGCCATGCACTAAAAGTTCTTGACCATAAAAACATAAAAGTAGTTCCATCTCAGTATATCTTGAAGAGATGGACAAAAGATGCAAGATTGGGAAATCAGAGGGAGATTGGGCAATGTAAAATACAAGATAATCCTAGCCCTAAGATGATTGTTGCAAGCTGTTACAAAGATTTGTGCCACAGACTGCTCAAGTTATCAGCACGAGCCTCTGAATCTATTGAGGCTTATCAATTTGCCTCTAGGCGACTTGATGAAGTGATGGAAGGAGTGGAGAAAATCTTGACAGTAAAAGTTGAACAAGGTCAAGTTATCACATCAAGTAGTGTTGATGCAAATGCTTCAGAAAGTGAGCCTGCTGAGATCTTTCTGAATGGACATGCAATTGAGGATCGGGATGAAAGTAACAAAGTAAATGGAGAAAAAGACAGGAGAGCTACGTCAAACAGGGGCCATCTAACAACCACGACTTGTAATGGAACTGATTCTGATAGGATTTTGAATGTAGAAACGTCTTCCCCAAATACTGTTGTCTGCATTTCAAGCCCCTCATCTGCATATGTTTCATCTCAGTCTGCCACCCCAAATCCTATTCTGCAGGTCATCATCTTTTATGATTTATCAGATATGGTAGTTTAACTTTTAATAGCATGTTCTTAAAAAAATGAGAATATGACATACGTTGGTTCTCTAATTTGTGGCACAGGGTTTGTACAGTTTTGAGGCCAATCAAGTTGTTCACTGCTTGTATGAACAACCTAGTTTCGTGCTGGACCATCAATCTAATACTAACATGTTCCAACCATCTAACTTCCTTTCTAACCAACAGGAATCTCAAGACCAATCTCAACTACTGCAGGTGTTTATTTTTCCAGTAATTAAGTGTTTTAATTATATGTGCAATTTGCTTCTGTGCATAACTTGTTAAGAATTTTACATAGGAACCTATAATCCAGAACACATACCACGAGTCCATGCCAAGCAGTAATCAGGTGCGACACGGAAACATTTCTTGGTCATAACCGCACCCCCGCAGCAAACTTATTCAATCTGCTTTGTGTTTGCTGGTTGTAGGGGATGGATCTTGACATCCAAAATCCACATCCGTCTTCATTCTTGCTGTATGACCATAGATACAGAAGTTCTGACTCCACATAAATTACAAGGGAAGAAGATGGTTGAATCATTTTGCCTCTAGTACTCTTTTGGTAGTGCCAGTGTTTTGCTGTACAGTGGGGATTGATCTAGTCAAAGGCATCGAGAACAGACTCATCCTTTTTCTTTGTATATAACCAAAACATTCATCATATGATATTGTGTAGCTCATATGAACATTACAACTGAATGCGATGGCTGCACAACTTTTGGAATGAAAGCCAACTTAAATCTACTAGTACATTCTTTTATATATATAGATAGATAACATTATTTTTTATCCTCATATATCTTGACTTGAATTTCTTCCTTTTTTCTTCACTTCTGTTCTGTTGTTTTATACCGATTTGGCCAACAAAAACATCTGATATTGTGTAGCTCATATGAACATTACAACTGAATGCGATGGCTGCACAACTTTTGGAATGAAAGCCAACTTAAATCTACTAGTACATTCTTTTATATATATAGATAGATAACATTATTTTTTATCCTCATATATCTTGACTTGAATTTCTTCCTTTTTTCTTCACTTCTGTTCTGTTGTTTTATACCGATTTGGCCAACAAAAACATCTGAAAAACCTAAAGACGTGTATTTCTTTATAAGTTGTGTCAGGCAAGATTCTGAAAATTTCTTAATACATTTCTGTTTTGAGAAACTTCTTACACACATTAAGTTGATGATATATTTGCCTGACCTAATGTCAGAAATTTTAGTTGCACGAGATAGTTATATTACTTATGAATCTGGATCGGCTCACTTTTGCTTTTAACACGAGCACGACTTTATTATATTGAAAGATAAAAACCAAATGGTGGGACGTTGTGCAGAAATTGGGCACACTGTCCAAATGTAGGTCTTTTCGTTCATGATCTCGTGTCTATTGTCCATTCTATACGTCTCCTAAATTGATAAGGAAATATTTTAAATTAGAGAGGATCCAAATCAATGACCTTTAGGCATCCAATTGATTCAGATGCTTCGTTGTATTTTGTTACCAACCACAAAAGGTGAGTGGGTCGTTTTGTACAATTTGGGTGGGAGGATGGAACATACACGTATGATGTATGGTTAAGACTCAAATTGCAAAGCTAGAATTTTCTTGGAAACCATGAACTTTCTGATCTTTTGCCCCTGGACTCTTTCCTTTCCTTTTTTAGACATTTGATGTTGTCAAGCAATGGGTGTCTCTGATCTCCATTCCTCAGTTTGCCAGTGTAGTTTGAACGTGATTCATCACACTGTTGTGGAATCCTTTTATTAGGTGGCTTCTGATTTTTGTTGTCATTTTAATGCATCCATTCATGAACTTTCTGGTACCATAAAGTTTGATTTTCCCTACTTCCGCAAAACCTGTTTGTGTTTGGATCATTTGACCACACGTGTTCCAACAGCACACTTCCTTTCTATTTTCATTTATTTATTTTTCCTGTTGTAGAATTTTCCTTTTGTTAAGCCACATTCATTGACTCGTTCCCTTATTGTGTCTTTTAATAATGTTCCCATTCGCGGACTTTTGATTGACGTGCTTACCCAAAAGTCAGAACTAAATGGTTAAACTGTGATTTGTAAACTGCACCTCTCTGGATCCCAAAAAAAATGTAACCTCTAAAGAGAGCTGCTGGAACAAAATTGGCTATTTTTTTTGAAAAAATCAAGTGATCCCACCTTAAATGCTCACATGATTGCCATACTTCGCACAGAAATATTTATTTATTTATTTATTTTCTAAAAAGAACAAAGCAAAACAAAAGATGAACTCAAACTAGGTAGCACTTAAGTTCCTTGATGACTTCCGATATAGCTGGGTGGTTGGCCATTTTTAGAGAAGCAAGATGGTGTATGCCTCGCTTTGGCTTGCTTGAAATGACATGATCATTATTAGCCGAAAACATAGCCATGTTTCGGAAGGAGAAAATGGAGATGTATCTAACTATTTATTATTCTGGCAGAGCAAAACACAAGATTTCGTTTTTTAATCGATAAAAATTTTTGCCCTCAGACAAATTGTAAGGCACTGTCTATTCAAAGTAGGGTGAACTTATACTTCTTGTTACGCAAGTATCATGTTCATAAGTACATACGAAAATATTAAAATATCTATCTTATTATTTTAGTATATTTGAAAATTTCAATTAATATGACGTATAAGCACCGACTGATGGGAGAACCATTCGTGATCAACACTTAAAACACACAGCGTTATTTTGGTCGGCACGCACGGCCAATGTATACAGGTTTTACTAGTCAACCGACCTGGCAGCTTTACTCAGACCACGACAAAGCAATTCACATTTCACAGTTTAAATTCTAAACCAAATAAGCAGAAAAGAATTCCGAATCAATCCTAAAACGTAAACAAAATCTAAATTATAAAAAAGAATTACTCTACACACATTTTAAAGAAAATTTTATTATTAGATTAAAAACTATATGATTTTTACTGAACAATGTGGTATGTTACTCATATAATTATCAAAATTTATATAAATTTTATTTAACGATGAAAAACATATTGAAAATAGCCATCTTGCTATCATTTCTATGTTATATCTTTTCTATCGCAATCGGGCACAAAGGTTTGCTCCCTAATCTTTCATCTTCTTTCGCAATCCCAATAAGTTTTGAAAAACCGTAATGAAAGAGAAGTAGAGAAGCACTGAAATTTCACCATAGAAAATTACAGTGTTTTAAGATTAAAAAAATCATTTATATATAATATATAAAATAAAGGAAGTCGAGAGTGAAGGTAGAAAGGCGCGTGAGGTTGAAGCATAATGAAAAAGGGGCGTCAAAATCTCCGACACTTAACTACAAAATCCAAGTGTTGCACAGTTCTTTAGCTGCTTCCATTATCATTCCCTCTCTTTCTCTAACTAAACTCATTTCACTTCTCTTTCTCTCTCTCTATTCTTCACCTCACAAATGACTTAACTTCAGTTCGCACATGGGCTTTCTCCGGCGACTTTTCGGAGCCAAAAAATCTTCTGACGGGTCGGGTTCCAAATCCGGCAAGAGAAGATGGAGCTTCGCCAAACACTCCTTAAGGCACAAGTCACTCCCACCGCCACCGCCACCATCCGTCTTTGATCCCCCCACTCCCTTGGACGCCAATAAGCATGCCATCGCCGTCGCCGCCGCTACCGCCGCAGTTGCCGAGGCCGCTCTTGCCGCCGCCCACGCTGCCGCCGAGGTAGTCAGACTCACCAGCGGCGGCGTTGCCGGAAGTAGTACTAGCACCAGACCCACCGCGCCGCCGCCGGAGTATGTGGGCGAACCGCGGTTGCCGGAGGATACCGCCGCCGTTAAGATACAGTCGGCGTTTCGCGGTTACTTGGTAAGTGAAAAATAAAATTGAAATTTTGGTTTTTAATTTGTGTAATTTTGTTTTCTTTTTGCCTTTTACTACGATTGTTTTCGAGGTTTTCCTGATTCAGTTTTTTAATAATAAAAAAACATCATCCGTGGTCGTTGCGTGTCAGCTACTTTCAAATCTGTTGACTCTCACGGTTTTTGTTTTCCAATTCTCGTTGAAATCGAATTTTGCTACAGATTTTCTCGGGAAACAAACGCTAGTCAAATATTGAATCTTTTTCATGATGAGAATTTTCTTCTTATTTTAAAATTATTTTACCCAGCGAAAGCAACCCGTTCCGTGGACATAGGTGTTGGTCCCCTTCCACCACCACACTACACCACACCTTGCTTCATTCCAAAATATATAAATTATTAATCTTAAAAATTAATAAAAGACTTTTTTTTTTGTTGTTTATATAGTAAGATTCTGGATGGAAAGTGTTTGTTCTCTCTCTGGCCTTGGAGTTGGATACTGCTACTGGCTGCTGACAATTTGCTTTATATATCATTTCGTCATCATACTAAAATTTTAGATTCTTTTTTATTTCCTTATCCTAAGTTTTCGACCGAAAATTTTCATTTTTGGGAATTATTATTACCTTCTTCTTAAGAAAATATTGTTTACTTCTGTCGTGTGTTTAAGTGCAATCTATTATGCCTTATCTCATAAACTTTGGCTTTACATTACAAGGATGTAATTTTCGATAGAATTTCTCTAATTCATAAGAAGGATATTTGAGATAAAAATGAATTAAGAAGGAATAAGCGAATGGTAATAGATGGAAACTCCCATGTCCAAGGTTGAGAAAGTCGGTGAGAGGTTAAAAAGAAAGATTACGGGTGGTAACAAAATAAAAATTAAACTATAAAGAAAAGGTCCTTTTTTGGAATTTGAGTGTGTGGGGATTGCAGAGCCTTGTGAGGATTAAAAAGAGGAAAATGGGACGTGTGGTTGAATAGTGGAAGGAGCCCCACATGCTTGGTGAGGTATGATAGTTACCTTTGCGGGAGGCAAAGTAGAATGGCTCTGCGCCTAAAATAACACCAAAGATTAGTGGCCCTCTGCCAACCCATCATCAGCCACATAAGGTCATGGCCCTAAGTACTGGTTGGTGGGGGTTGCTATAACTGAATGTAATAGGAGAGTGACCACCAAGTTGGTAACCACTAATGTCGTTTTTGGATGCCTCTGGGGGAGTCTTTGTGATCAAGTCATTTTCTTGCCAAATCATTTTTAAGGAAAACCTATTCCTTTGTGGGAAAAAAAGGGTGGGCTTTTCACCTTACTTTAAAACAAACAAACATTCTAACTTTAACGTGAAAGAAGTAACTCTAGTTAAGGTCTTAACAAACTATAATTACAATATGTGTGAACTAATGAACCCAACCCTTCTTACCTTTTTACGTTTCTGCTGGTTATGCAAATCATGCTAAGGTGGGAAATGTAGCATAGGAAGCTTCAACGAATAAAAAGTAGCATAATGTTTACGTGTTTACTAATGATTGCATCCACCACCACCCACCCTCTCTCTCTCTCCCTCCCTCTATTTTCTCCTTTATTTTAGTATTACAAGATTTCCTCTCTTGTCTGTTCTCAATATTTTATTTTATTATTTAGAGGGTACTAACTTAAACATGTAGCAAACATGCTGTCCTTCACTATAATTCTTCTTTCTTTGGGTTTTTGACTAACGCTTCATGGAAATTGTTCTTATTTTATTTTTTTTCCCCTCAATATATCATTGGTTCAATTTCATTGTTATTGGATATTGTTACAATATGATAAGAAATATTTGTAAATAAAAAAATTGTTGTTGGAAGGCAAGGAGAGCATTGAGAGCACTGAAAGCATTGGTGAAGTTGCAAGCATTGGTTAGGGGCCACATTGTGAGAAAGCAAACTGCAGATATGCTCAGGCGCATGCAAACGTTGGTGCGACTGCAGGCCCAGGCACGTGCAAGTCGTGCGCACCTGTCAGATAATATGCACTCTTTCAAGTCTTCCCTTTCTCATTATCCTGTAAGTGAATATAACAGTTATTTATTTGACAACTGTCCTCCTCATTCTTTTCTTTGTAAGCTGAGGCTATCTTCTTAGGAAGGCTACATGCGATGGTTCCTCATTTTATCCAAAAATGTCTAACTTTTCATGCTTTACCTTTTGTGCTATGAAATTACTTTCCTCCTTGTCACAATGTGACGGTGCTTAGGTTGAATTGTGCATTGAAACGTGAATTATCTATTTAGCTAGTTTTAGTAGTTTATTACTCAGCAAAGAATGATTCATCAACCACTATAACCTGTCTGATTTTTTTTAATATAAAATTAATTGCAGGTCCCTGAAGAATACGAGCATCCACCTCGAGCCTACAGCACAAAATTTGATGGATCTTCTATGCTTAAGGTAAACTATTCCTCCTCGTTTAAACATGGTGACCAGCCTTACGATATAAGGCTAGTATAGCCCTTGCTTCAGGCCCCAAAAAATATTTTATTTAGTCAAAGTATATATGTATATATAGTTAAATATAATAATTACTTGAAAAATAATATTAACTTATTAGGAAAATTAAATAATTTTTCCTGGTCTTGTAGATGGTATACCTCTCTTAATTGCAATATTCTTTATAAACTTGCAGAGATGTAGTTCCAATGCCAATTTTAGTGTTGACTCAGAACGGGCACGGTTTAGTTCCAATTGGTTAGACCGATGGATGGAATTAGATAAAATGTGCAGACAAACTGGAAATGCTTCATTAAGAAATGGACAGCTTGATGATGATAAAAGTGACAAGATTCTCGAAGTAGATACTTGGAAGCCACACTTTAAGTCTCACCACAGTAGCAACTCCTTCCAGACAGCACATTATTATTTGAGCTCTGATTATAACAATGAGTCTCCATCAAAACGTTCAACAAAAGCTCTAAATCAAAGCTTCTCATCAAGGGAGGTGTTACAGCTAAACTCTTTGAGGTTTCACAAAGGAAAAGAAGAAGCAGCTTCCCGAACTGCTGATAATAGTCCACAAGCATTTTCAGCCACCTCTAGAACTGGAAGTGGTGCAAGGAAAGGTCCCTTTACACCTACGAGAAGTGAGTGTTCGTGGGGTTTCTTCAGTGGCTACTCGGGTTACCCCAATTACATGGCTAACACTGAATCTTTTAGAGCTAAGGTTAGATCACAAAGTGCACCAAGACAAAGGTTGGAGTTTGACAGATACGGTTCTACTAGGAGACCTGTTCAGGTTCTTTGTGACGTGGGGCCAAATTCAGACGGGGATTCTGATTTGAGGAATAAAGTCTTACCTGCCCCTAGCCGTGTGAACAGAATTGGTAGTACCAGTTTAAGGTGACAGTGTGTATTTTGTATGAAGACAACCCCCACTTTTTTCCACAAAAAAGAAGAGACACATTTCATCTTGTTTGGGTTTATTGTGTGTGTGTGGCAGCACTTCAGAATGTAATTATTTTACCTGTATTCATATAGTCCTTTGTCCCTTACACTATTGTTTTCATTTTTGACGTTTTAAGTGTGTCAATTCTTAAGTCAGGACTTGGTTTGACTGTTTGCTTAGTGGAGTGCATGTTTTGAATCATAACATATTTGGAACTAGCCCCTTCATATGAATAATTTAATGATGATGGATCAAAGTAATCATTTCTCTTTAGGGACATGTATAGTACAAATACTGCAGTTTTTTAATTGAAAGGGAAAAAATTATGGCATGAATTTCTTTTATACACTTTTTCATATCCTTCACCTTTTTTTTTTTGTTAATATTTTTACTATTTCAGATGAACGCACTAACCCATTTAGTGCATAACAAATTATTTTTCACTGTACTTTGGGGTTGATGAGCACTGCTCGGAGAATGTAATTACTCGATCAAAAATGACTTTGATTTATATCATTCAAATAGTATTCATTTTGTCAAATCACTTTCGATTTAAATGGTATGTAAACATAATGTTATCATAAACTCACTTTCAATGTAAAATCAAGTTGATTTAAACTCTCAAATTTATACACACTATTCCAAAGAGGCGCTATGAATCTAACACCGGGATTTTTGTGGCAGGTGTTGTATAATCATTTACTTTTTCTTTTGAACGCTAAAGCTTACAAGCTATAATGTTATGGGACCAGTCTTAATGGAGCAGGGAAACGATACAAATCTTTACTTTGATCAAACTTTCATCTCTAACAACACTAGTCTGATAATTTTCCAGGCTTCAAAATCCAGAAAATGGTTCTGGTTGTCTTGATGATTTCATCCAGTCTATTCCAGAATATGGGTATTTAGGTACCTACCACACTCTTAAAATGTTAGTCAACCACTTTCCTGAAAACAAGAAACTAGCAGACTTCCAGTGCAACCTTATTTTGGAAAGTAGATTTGTGTGAGTTCTGCTAAACTAATTACCTGTTCTTCTAACTCGTTACTCAAGACAACTAAATAGGAATAAAAACGTGTGAAAAGGCTTATGTTGAACAAAAGCGAATAACATGGGACATGAAAAACAAGAAGCTTGCTTATCGTTATTTCAAAATACCCACACTATCCCCTACTATATATACCATTTCCGTTATCTAATTATTAAGTCTTGTTATATATATATATACTAGTATTTCTAAACTTGAAGGTGTATTGAATATTTTTTTATATTATACTAAAATATTAAAAGATATTTACGTATTTTTCAAATACACTACTAACTAAAATCAATGATTTTAAATATATAAATTTATTTTTTTTACATTTCACCTTAAAAATTACCTTTTTTTTATTTGCATGGGTGCAGCCAATTTCACTCCACACTGATATTAAGAGGCAAGTGTTACCATTCTCGGATTTTTAAAGAAAAAAAAAAGCCATTGAGCTTTCTTTTTTTTTGGAATCAACACAAAACCTTATGCGGAGATATATATGATATCTACTTAGAGAAGATCTGCTTCCCACCTACTATTTATTTTACTAAGTATTTCCTGATTTTGATTTTATACACTGTGAATTCACGGAAACTAGATCTTAGCTTTCTTTTCGGTTTAGCCTTTCGGTGGTCCACTTGGTCACACATGGACATGAAACAATAGGACAAAATAATTCACATACAAGAGACATATGCACTATTACTTACCTTGTGTAGTTCTTTCTAGTTTTTGTTTTTCTTGAGACTACACGAGAGAACTGTGGCCTTGGATGCTCACCCAGGCCATGCAGTCGAAATCAAGTGATTATATGAAGCTGTTTATGAGAATAAATAATGTATGAAGAGTTAGTACTTGCTCTTATTTGCGCCCTACGATCTTGTTTTGGCCCAGAGCAATCCCACTGAGATACCCTACTTCTCTTTTTGTGTATACCTTTTTATCAAATGACAATTCAAAATGCACCTTTCTTTTACTGCTTTTTAAAAGTGTGATGGCTGTCATTATGCCAAAATCATTAGCTTTTTTTTCAATCATATAAAAGTTCAAAAGAAGTTTATCTCAGTCGTTGAAACTTAAACTATTAGTTCAACAATCAGAAAAATTATTTCCGATTAGCCGATTCTCCTTAATTAAAAGAGAAAAATAAAATAAAAGGCAACAGTTTGTTATATCCGTGTTAGGCACCGGTAATTATGAATTAGTTGAATTGCTTTCACCTGGACATATTGTACCATGAGAAAGAGTGGTACCAAAGTAGAGGAAAGATGGTGAATCATAAATAGTATTTTTGTTTTATTATTCATGGGGTGACATATCCGTGGCAGTGGGTCCAATTTTTGAAAGCTTCATTATGGATAGTTTAATTAATAGACGTAGGCGCATTTGAGGATGGAAGACATCTTGTATTTACAGATCCAACGACCACCAAACATATTGATATGAACACAGTAATTTGGTGGGGCATAACATTGTGCTGAGAAATGGGTTTGAAATATCCGCGTTAGGCTCAAAAGCTTTGCTGTTGGCCATTGCTGGTAGGCGTTTACAATTTCATTGCATGTGTCACACATGTCACTGATTAATAATGGCGATTTGTGCAATGAATTCCCTCACCAGCTTTTAATCCAGGAGAAATATGAGGTGATTCTGAAGCTTGTACATATATATATATATATATATATATATATATATATAACACTGCTGACCCCATTCTTGGAAATGGACATAGGGCGTATCTGGTTTAATTTATTTTAGAAAAATAGTTGTTTATTTAAAAATAATAATTACAGAACTTTTAAAAGATAAGCAATTATTTTTTCAAATGTAAGCTAAATGAAGCATGATATTAGTATAAAATTGTTTGATACTCGAAAAGAATAATTTTATGGAACTTAAATACTATGCATTACACAAATTTACAATTAAAATATCGCTTCTGAAATTACAACAAACTCTTTATTACAATATCCATAAGTGAAAGTTAAAATTAAAATTTCCCATAAGTGCTAATAGATCCTTTAACAACTATTTCTAAATGATCCTGGAAAAACACAGGAAACTCTGTCAAAAGTTACAATCAAACATTGTATGACGCAGGAAACTGTTGGCATTTACACTTTCTTAAAGCCAGGCCCATAAGACCCAGAGAGATAGAGATTTACCAACTACAATCTATATTGGGCCCAATAATGAAGCCCAAAGAGATACCACATAAACCTGGCAAGATGCCTATAGCTGTGGCGTTTGGGTTGAAAGTGTCAATCAGGCCCATTAAGCATCTACAAACATAGTGTCTATTATCACCAATGTTAGCAATGGTTTTCAAGCCAGACATGGCATCACAACAAGGAGACCCTGGAATGGGGTCTGGGGAGCCATAGGTGATGAAGATGGAGCATGCAGAGAAATATTGAGTAACTGTGGAGCATTCTATAAACGCATATACAGTTGGGGCCCAGGAAAGCAACATCACCACCCCAATTATTCTTACTGCCTTGTAACTTCCCATTGTACAAAGTTCCATCAGAATATGATTCTAATGAGGCCTTTCCTTGTTTCCCCACCCTTTTGTCTTTTATTTGTCTCTCCCTAAAATTGCTTTTCATGAAGTTGAGTCCTTCAATACATTATAAAACTATATATAATATATATACAAGAGGGAAAATGTTGGTTGGTGTGCAATGTGGAGTTTGTGATTTTACATGATTTTTCAATGAACTTTGAGGCGTGCATGATGCAACTATTTCAGAAGCTATATTAGAACATGCAATTGTTTTTAAAAATGGTTGTATACTTTATTTCTTTTACCATTTTCCTTAAAGCAAATGGTGTCGTGGTGTAGTTGGTTATCACGTCAGTCTAACACACTGAAGGTCTCCGGTTCGAGTCCGGGCGACGCCATTCTTTTTTCAACTTATGAGAATCCTATTTCACATAAGAACACCAAAGTCTAGTTTTTTGCATACACGGAAACAGATCCATTTGGTGACATATTAGGTGAACCCAAAGGGTACACTTTAAGAAATGCGTAATGATTTTGGTGGGACGTCCAAGCTAGCATTTTCACCAATTGCTTTCCTACCTAATTTGTTTCCTTTTAGATACATCATCTATTGGACGTTTAGACCTACCTTATGGATCAATTTTTCTACTTATCGTTTCTTATAAGAGATTGTTTGCTGGCCTTGTGGTTCCATGATACTATAATCAAATGGGATCATTTTGAGCCTTCCTTCCAACTGAGAAAAAATTAATCAAACTTAGGACCATTAAGTGCGTAGATGATTGATCAGTTATCACGACTTAATAAGAATTCATGAATATAAATTTCAAGTCCACGATTACCTGGATACACATAAGAATATAAATAGATCACAATAAGAAAGCCGAAGAGAAAATAAGATGGAAAATGAATTCATATACAAAAAAATATCTTTATATATTATATACTATGTATGTTTCAAAAAGAAAAATTAGGCATAAATCCATAAAGACAAACCAATTATTCGGAGGAAAAAAATAAAACAAACGAAATGAAACAAAACAACCCAGTTTCTAAGAGCTATGACTATACAGTGAGAAAAGAAACTGCTGGTGAACATCATATGCCATTTCGTCTAAGCGTCATTGCTGCATTCCCATTTAGAAGTGGGGACACATGTGAGGTAGCGACACCAATGGCAGTGATCATACCCTTTCTCACCCCGGAATAGCATCACCAATGCAATCGTTAACCTGTCATTAAAAATATGAATTTCAGTGATTTTAGTATCCTTTTTATTTAAATCAAACTAGGGAAGTGCATGAATTGTAACGAAGAGAAACGAAAATAACCAATATAAGGCCTTACATTATGTTAAGCATATAGGGAGCACATGAAGAAGTAAAGAAAAAACAAGTTTTTCTTTTGCTAAGAACAGCCCACCAAAAGTGAAAAGAATTTCATAAAATTTAACAAACAAATAGTTATACATATACCAAATGAATATAATTTATTAATTTTATCTCCTTTGGTGAAATACTTATCAAAATAACAACATTCCTATTGAGGATTTAAAGAGGGAACTAACCCAGCGATCAACAGAACAAGAGACACAATCCATAGAACATATTGGTATGCCTTGTACTTTGACTTCAGACGAACACTGGCGGGAAGACGTCGCTGCTCTAACCACCCAAACTGGGGACGGGGCAACAAAATGAAACCAAGGAGAAATCCCACCAGGAATCCCCCAATGTGAGCAAAATTATCTACATGTGGCAAAATGCCAATGCCAAGGTTGATCACAATGATGACTAGAAGGGTGAGTAAAGCCATTGCCTACAAAAAAATAGTGGAAAGGGGAGAAAAATAATAGTTAACTCTACTAGTATTGATCTAGTTTTAAGGTATGAAACTAACTGATAGCAATGAGCCAAACCTAAGAAGATTTTGAGTTTCTCATATTGAAGAAGAGTTAATAAACAAGCAGAAAACCATAATTTAGACAAGTGGACTAATTAAATATCTACACCCACTTTATTGGAATATATAGTCCAGTTTGTGATAAGTTCTGACAGCATTGCTCCAAGAAGTCCAAAAAGGGCGCCAGAAGCACCAACAGAGATGTGGTCTCTAATAAACAAAGATGATAATACACTCCCACCAAAACCAGAAACCAGGTATATGATCCCTATCCTCACTGCCCCAAACAACGAAAATGTCAGTTCCATTTACAAAAAAAAAATTAGAAGAGAAGAGAAATTAAATTAAGTTTCCTAAAACGTGTCCTTAGTTAGATAAGGTATTCAGCTAACAATAAACTTGGAAGTCTAATGTTTGCTTTTCCTGATTTTATGTGACACTCATTAGATGACATCAATGTAATCACAAGAAGATATCATTAATCTTGAACAAAAACATACAAAACCCAAATTGTTGTTCAAGGCGAATGCCAATGAAGACCAGGCTCAACATGTTGGCTAGCAAATGAATAATTCCAGCATGTAACCAAATGCAAGTGACAAGTCTCCATCCTTGATGCTTATTCACAACATTATCCCATCGGAGGGCTCCCATCTTGGTCAATCTTGAAAAGGAAATAAAACGTTTCCAATCAATTTTCTTCCAGAACACAATAGGCTACCATTTAAACTATTACATGAATAGTACATGCAAGGAACTGCAAGTTACAAAATTGGAAAACCAGCACCCTCATTGCTGGAAAGGTAAATGTTTTGCCTTCCCTTTCCCCCTTTTAGTAGAATAGAATAACCAAGTAAAGAACTCAAGTGAAACAAGTCATCCACTATACTTTAAAACTGAGTAAATATCCAATAAAATTGAAAAGTCAATGTACATACGACCCTGCTCACATTTCTTACAACAGAAAACCAACAAATAAACCAAACCGAAATATAAATATAAAGGCTGAAAAGAAAGCCTTCCTGAAACATTCAATCTAAAACACAAAGTACAAGCCGATACACCAATTTTAAGAATCCTTGATTCTTTCCTTGTTTGGCCTTTAAAGGGTGATAGAGAAAATATTATAAAAAAACTTATATTGCCATATCATGCAGTAACAAAAGGTGCAATTTACAGGATATAATTCCGTAGTGTTCTGTGTTGTGGCTAACATTTTTAGACCCAAGAAATGCCATAGTCCCAGCCAAGTCAAGTGAGAGTCAATCATATAAGATGCCCCACACCTTAGTAGTTCAGTTGAGGCATTTAACCACGCAAAGAACCTTTACATTTCACTCCCACTCGCCTTTCTTTTCTTTCCTTCATTACTTATTTATTCCTACAAAAACCAACTACGTGATTAATTATTAAAAAATCCCATTAAAACTATGATAACGATGATTTTAAAATTAAAACGATTACCACAGAAGAAAATTAATATTTAACTTGTAAGTTGTAAATAAATAACAGCAAATTCAGCTAATAATAATAATTTCTTAACCATCAAATTTCAACTCTCTTAAAACATTTCATGTACACCTCTATCCACCCCTTTAAAAAATCATAGCTCTTACTCAATATAGAATTACATCTTAGAATAAGCGAAAGCAGTAATAAGATCAATAGTAAAGACTGGAGTATGGGTATTGACCGCAAAAATATGAAAGTGATGCATCAAGCTCACCCAATCTCTACCAAAAGCAACCAACAAGAACTTATACAAACACAAACATAAACAATGAAATAGCTTAAATTAAAACATGGGAGTTGAAGAGAAAAGAGTAATTGAGCTCTCACGTGGAAGAAGAAGGACCAAGTAATGGATTCTCCTGCATAGGTTGGAAGGAGAACCTGCCAAGGAACCTGGCCACGCAGTCACCTTGTAATTCAAGGTTGTTCTTGGGACAATTGTTGATGTACATGGTGACAATAAAAACCGCTATGTTAGCAACGACAAACATAGGCACAAGCCATGATGTCCAATGAGTCTCAGGTTCATAAACAGAAGATGAAGGAGCAGAATAGTTTTCAACTCGGTTGTTCTTGGTTCCCCCACCGCCACTTTCAAGATCTCTCCTAGCCATAATTTATCTCTCTTAATCAAACCCAATATCAAAGTCTCAAACTTTATTCTGAAACGGTGCCTTATAGAGGTGGAGTTGGTGAATGAGTTTAAAATGGGGGAATGAGAGAGGAAGGTACAAGCAGGTATTTGTAGTGGGGTGACCAATTTCACTGTCTCATGTTACTAACTGCCGCAGTAAGAATCAAAGGCTTCACAACCCCTGCGGCCCACGATACCCAATGAAACTCACGCAATTCTGCACGTGTCAGAAGGGCTGTGACTTGATTGATGGCGTGGCGGATTTTAATTAGCGGTTGTATTTGGGTGTTGTGGTGCCGGAAGCAGTGGATTGTAGCTTTGGGACGCGCTGTTTCTTTTTCGTGGATGAACTTTTAACTTACGGGATAGGTTCGGTTTTGTGCTTTCGGAATAACTGCGTTTGGATGAGTTTTATGTTTAACGATGCTAAAGGTATGCTTATGTCGGTTCACCATATTCACCCGCGTCTCTTTGAATGCGGTATCAGTGCATATATGTAAATTAGTTGCCTTATTAATAAATAATAGTAAAATTTTATTAAAAAAATATTTATTATATTTTTATAATTTTAATATAATAACATATATTTTTTTATCAAAAAATTTTATTTGTAGATATTTATTCTCAGTCCTTAATAAAATTCTATATTATCTACTATAATTTTTAAAAAATTTATTCTCAAGTGAAAAATAAAATGAAAAGGCAGAATGTGAACAGATGGATGATGATCATCACGCTTATTGTATTTGAGGAGGATTAAAAGACGATTAATCTATTCTTTAACATGTTTTTTAAAACACGTTCTTAATATAAATTATAATTTTTAAAATTATAATAAAATAAAGATAAATATAAATTTAAGAGTAAGGAAACATTAAAACTTATATAAATTTTTAATAAATTTTAGTTAATGTTTAAAATTACCTAAAAAAATATGTTAGCTGCTTTTAAAAAAAAATTATTTGACCGACCCACTTAAATTATAAAATTAAATGTTACAACATGAACTTGGAGTCGGTGACGGGCCTGGATAAAATAATTAGTATTAGTAATTTAATAAGACTAGGTGATTTAGTTCTTTTTTACGAAGATTTGCCAGCACTCTATTAGGAAAGGATATTTTTTTCTACTTGTACTTGTCATTTCCTCTTACAAATAAAGTAGTTGGAACTTGCGAATATAATAGTGTATCTCGATATAAAAATTAAAAGATAAAACATTTTTAAAAGATTAAAAATTATAAATTATGAAAACAAGTTTAAATACCTTTAGTTTCTTAATCAATACCTTTAAAGTATTGATTAACAATTGTCTATAAATAATTGCATGTTAATTGAAAACGTATTTGAAAAGTTTAAAAGTATCTTTATTTCGTAGACCAGAAAAATAATGTATTTTTAGTTATTATTAATTGTTATATTAATATTTGTAAAAAAAAAATACATTTAATCGTAGTTTTAATCTTTTTAATTGTTTACTTTGAATTTCTATTGTTAGATGTAATAAATGGAATGTCACACTATTATTATCATGTGTAACACACATTTATAGTGAAAATATGTTTGTGATTCACGTAAATACATTGCTTTTGTTATTTTAGTCTCTATGAATACTTGTACGTAGTTTTAGTCTAATCTCTTTTAAAATACATTATGTAATAAAACAAAAATGACATGCCACCCTCCTTTTTTACTCTCTTCCCTCCCTCACTAGGCACTGCTCCTTCCTCTTGTGCTCCATCTTATTATTCTTCAAATTTTTTATAAGTTGCAAAGGTTTTTTTATTAATTTAAACTTCATTATTTATAATCTTATATCATATGACGATAAAAAATATATTTAAGTATTATCAGTTCCACTTTAATTTAATTATAGTTAAACTAATTAATTAACAATCGTAAATCAGTACTTTTGCTTGTTTCATGATCTGTTCAATTTTAAAATTTTCATTTTTAGGATTGATAGTATTATTCAAAAACACAATATATAAATATATAATTTTTTTTCTAATAAATTTGAACTTTTTTTATTTAATTTTATTCTTAAATATCTGTCCTGATATAAATTAAAAAGTATCACTAAAATCGCAATCATTAATTCATGAAATATCACAATTGAATTTTGTCGTCAACGTTTGTCACGACCTTACGGTCGTCATAAGTTTGTGATATCAGTCGTTATAGTGCACGTGCTATATATATATCATTTATTATAAAACAAAACTATAACATGCCTAAAAATATATTCATCGCTTACACTTTAAAGATAACTTTTTTTAATATTAAAAGTTAACTACTAACAATAAAGAGAAATAACTAGTTGTATTTAAATATTGCCGAAGAAAACAGTATTTTTTTAAATATTTTACAATTCATAAGTGCTGAGTTGGTCTATATTAATTACTTAATTTACGTTGCTCAAAAAGCAAATTGTAAATCTTCGCTTAATACAAAGCTAAGATTAAAAAAAAAAAAGTTTGTAGTGTAATGTCTAAGCTTATTTTCAAATATTCAAGAGCTTCGTCCACTTAAGTAAAATTGGAATATTTTGGTTTAAAATGGATTTGATTTTACTTTCAAATGGTTCAATCTTCGCCTAACAACTTAGAGATAAACGAAAGAAGTTACCCTAACTTACAAAAGATAAGATTTGTAAAATTTGTATGTCAGTGTCAATAATCAATGATCACAAAAAAATTCAGTTGTTAAGTGAAGATTTATTATTAACTTTATATCTATCAAATCTCTTAAAGTAACAATTATTTGAGCTAGAAAAATAAGTACAAGTTACCATATTTTATATAAAATTTTAACTTTTAATTAAAAGAATCGAATAACAACTATACAAAAAAATGAAAAAAAAAACTAAGATGTTAGGTAAAGGTCACGAATGATGTTATATTCATCAGTGAGAATGCATTTTCTGCTTCGATTTATGCAGAATATACACGAGAGGAGAGATAATATTAATTTTTATAGAAGAAAACTCCTCTCTGAAAAAAAAACTGTATACATGAAGCTGTATACTATTCTTTTAATGGGAAAAATTATTTTTATAAACCTTTTTTTTAGTTTGTTTATGAAATTAAAATGATTTCTCCTCTTTACACGTATCTAGCAAATTATACAGGTGCAATAAATATTTTTCATGAAATAAATGATTTAATTGCAATTAATTTTAAATGTGGAGAATTTTGATTATTCTGAGCAGCTTTATTTTCCGCTTTGCCAGCTCTATGGTAAATAAGCAATAGCTGTTGATTACGCGTTCTTAACATTTTATTGATAACTATCTAAAAGTTATAATCAAATGATCGATCTATATCAAGGCTACATAAAAGGTAGAATATTCCCTTTTGATAATCTCATGCTTCTTTCTGTTTATCTTCACTTTCAACCTATCCAAACACGCCTTTTGCGTTCCCTGTAAGAAATGCACAAAATTGCTTCCTTTTTTTAGCACCTTTAAGTTGAGACAGACGAAAATAATAATTTCTTAAAAGTACTTTTTTTGTTTGTTTCACTCCCCTTTCTCAACTCCAAATTGCATTAGCATCAAACTCAAGTTAATTACATTTTTGGATTTTGGATTTTGTTTGTTTTACACAATTGATCTGAGAAAAGTGAGGGTTTCTATATTTATAATCCTAGATTTTCGTAAATTATTAGTTTTGACTATTTTCATCAACGTAATAGGACAAAATTTTAATATATAATAAAAAATTAAAACGTAATATTTTTTTAATTATTTAAGTTATTGTATAACGATCAGTGAAGGCAAAAATATTAATTTTTAGAAAATAACTGATTTTTTTTAAAAGAGAAGAGAAAAGAACAAAGAACACAGCATCGGTGCAAATTCATAAAGTGATAAAACAATCCAAGATCTTATGGTTTTGTGTGGTTACAGTTAACAGTTAATTACAGAATAATTTTCTATTCTGAAATGAGAATGGCAATGAATTGGGTGGAGGGAACTGGAATCCCTTACAGCTGGACAATGTGTGCCGTTGGATGCAACATGGCATCATATGATACTTATGCGTGTACGCAAACGCTCTTTTCATTATCCATTGTTGGATCCACGTGCACTCTATTGATTGGTTCTCAGGATTCGTTGCTTGTTCATGAAATTATCGTCGACTCCAAAATACACATTTTTGGACTGTATCAGTTACTATCCCAATTTGTTGAGATTCCATTTTGGTGTGGAATGAGTCATATAATTATTAAAAGATGTGAACATATATTTATTGTTCGCAATAAATATCTTTTTATATTCGAGTCTTAACAATTATCGCGTTAAGTATTTCAATTAATTCGTAATTTACCAAAACAAAAAAACTTTGTGTAATTAATATCTTGATTGATATAATTGATTGGACTAACCAGGCTACACAAATAACGTACGAAGTTTTTAAAGTAAAAGAATAATATAGAAAAATAAGCGATAAAATTTCCTACTAATGCATACTCACCGAAATTGGAATAAACAGGAAAGTGAGGGATAAAATAGAAAAGCAGGACTCACTTCTCTCCTTTTTCGCAATCTAAGAAAGCAAAGATTTAAGTTGAGGCCTTTGTCTTTATATATATTTCCATGTTTTTTGTGTGCACAAATGCAAAGTGTTACATCTTTATCTAACTTCTATCTTTAACTCTTCTTTTTAGCCTAAATTGATAGAACCAAACATGGGGGCTTATAAATGAGAAGTTTGAATTTACCAGTTAAAAAAACCGAAAAGGAAAAGCCTTTTTTTTATCGTTGTTCAGAAGCCAAATTAAGTTTTCCTGTTATTTTTTGATAAAATTTAACTCCAATTTTATAAATATTATTTTTAATTAAAAATGTAGTTCTATTTCAACAATATACAATAATATTAATACAAATTTTTTATTAGAATGAAAATTTAATTTTAATTAATTAACAACACTTAAAAAAAACCAAAAAATCTTCTCCTTTTTTTAAAACTTAAGCAACCCTATTCTGGTGGCTTCTCCAACCTTGCATACCCAGAAATCCAATACCTTTGACTAATCTTAAACGTTTCTAAAAGCGTCAGGAAAGAAGAAGCTGACCATACAATCATCTTTCCCAAAAAGGTAGTCCTAAGCAAAACTGAGAAAGTAATGAATGCACACACGCAGAAGTCATAAACTCACAAGGATAATCATCGCAACTAGTTGGTGCCTTCTCAATTTCAACAGAAAGGAGCACCACAGCTTAATAGGAGAATTTGGACTTGGTTATGCCATGTACTCGATTGCTTCTAAATATATTAAAAAATTATAAATAAAATGAATATAATTATTTAAACATATACTTAAACATGCTATATATTCATTCTTTTTCGTACACTACTTCTTTTGTCTGTGAAAATGAAGGA